ATGCTTTTTTTTTTTTTAATATATCTTTATTGATTTCAGAGAGAGGAAAGGAGAGGGAGAGAGAGAGAGAAACATCAATGATGAGTCACTGATCGAGCCCGCAACCCGGGCCTGTGCCCTGACCGGGAATCGAACCCCGATCGCCTGGATCTTAGGTCGATGCTCAACCGCTGAGCCACGCCTGGCCGGGCTCACTGTTATTTTTAACAAATTTTAGCAAATAGGCCATATGTTGGAAAAAACACTAGGAATTTCACCGACATAATATTACATATCTACAGCTATCGCCTACATATTTAAATCCAAGAGTCACTGCTCCTGAACAATATTCAGCGAGTGATTAGCATGTGACCACACCGCACTGCACTGCGTGGATACCGGTCCTGTTGTGCTGTGGTGGGTGTGACTGTGCAGCAGTTATCACCCCGGCNGGTCCTGTTGCGCTGTGGTGGGTGTGACTGTGCAGCAGTTATCACCCCGGCCGGCCCGGGTTCCCACGTGCGCTAAGCTCCGCTCCAGCAGCGTGCATTTGTTTACTCTCAGTGACTGGGGAATGCACAAACTCACTAGACCTATTCAGCATAAATTTAAAATTACTGTAATACATACGGAGAACTTTTCTGTGAAATTAAACTTCATGCATACTTAATTTTAATTACACAAACGTGTCTACGTAAGTCAAAAAGGTAAATGAACTAATTTCTCAATTTTTTAACATACCCATTCGGAAAACCTACTTTATCATATAACGGACTTTTGGCTTTCACGGACACCCCCTTTCCAGAACTAGTCCGTCATGTTGAGGTTTTACTGTGCTCGGAAGGATCATGTCTCAGTAGTGGGGGGTAATGGGTCACAGATGAAACACTGCCCTAGTCCCAGCGAACAAACCTCAAGAAACCAGACTCCAAAGGGTTAAAATGTCTCCAAGTGCTTAACTGTGCCCCAGAACAAAGCTCAGGGCTATTTATAAGAAACACAAATCTATCCGGCACCTAACAAGCTAATTGGCATTCAGTTAAGAAATGCCAGGTGTGTACAGAACAGCCTATGACGCAGGAAGGGAAGTGACCCACCAGACTGAGCCGGGGCTGACACCGGCTGTCGGCTGTCACTAACACATTTCCTCCAGGGCCCTTTAGAGCACCAAATGCCTATGCTAGAAAAGAAACCAGAGGGAAAGGGAGGAAATTAAACCTGCAGTATGTAGACTAAAGGAAATAACGAAGATAAAAGCAGAGATCAATAGAAGAAAAAACAGTGGAGAAAGCCAACGAAACTAAAAGCTGGTTCTCCGAAAAGATAAAAAAAGTTTAAGCCTCCAACCAGGCTGATCAGTAAAAAAAATAAATCAAAGAAGACAGATTATCGCCATCAGGAATGATAGCAGCGGAATCACCACAGATCCCACAGGCACTAAAAGGAGACTAAGGAAGCGCTAGGAACAGCTTATGCCGATCAATTAGGCAACTCAGATAAAATGGGAAAACTTCTTGAAAGACTGAAACTATCAAAGAGTTTTCAAAATGAAACAGATAACTAGAAACATTCTGTATCTTCAAAGAAATGGAATTTTTAGTTAAAAACCTTCCAATAATGAGAAATCCAGGCACCAAAGTTCACTGGTGAACTTAACCAAATATTTAAGGAAAAAATAATTCCAACTCTCCCCATACTCTTCCAGAAAAGTGGAGCAACAATATACTTTCCAACTCACTTTACGAGGCTGGCAACACCTCGATTCCAAAACTGGAAAGACATGTACAAGAAGAGACACCTACAGACCAATACTCCTCATGAACTTAGGTGCAAAGGTTAACAAAATTTTAGCAAATGGAAATGAATAGATTTTAAAAGGATAGTATATCATGACCAAATTGGGTTTATGCCAAGAACACAAAATGGATTTAATATTTATAAAAATCCACAAGCCCTGGCCAGGTGGCTCCCTGGGCTGGCTGGAGAGCCGTTCCTACACCAAAGAAGAAAAGGTTGTGAGCTGATCCCTGGTAGGGGGCGTGCAGGAGGCAGCCGATCCATGTCCCACTCTCACATCGATGTTTCTCTCTCTCTTCCTCTCTCTAAAAATCAATAGAAAAAACTTTTTTTTAACAGAGTGTACTCATTCAGGTGAAGACGTGAAGGAACCGGCATTCACACACAGGGTGGGAGAGTAAACTGGTACAAGCACTTCAGAGAAGAGCCTGACAGATTCTTATAAAATTAACCTACACTCATCCTATGACCTGGCCGTGCACTCAGATGAAGGCACTGTCCCCGCAGGTGTTCACAGCAGCTTCATTCTTACCAGCCCAAACCGGGAACGAGTCCTCCCACGCCCATCAACAGGCGCCTGAATGAACGCGTGATCCACGCTTACAGCTGCACAGGCCTCTGTGGTAATAGTGACAACTGATGCACACACAGTTACGTCCTCAGTGACAGCTCAGGGGGGGCCCGAAAGAGGTACACCCCAGCCAAGGTCGCCATCCACCGAGCCGCACGCACACCGACGAGAACTGTAAAGACCTGGCCTTCACATTGCAGAATGAAACGGGACGTCTCGTGGTAGATTTGGAAGTTGGGAGACCCGGGTTCAAAACCAGAAATCCCCCCTTACGGGTGGTGTGATCGCAGGCGAGTTACTTACCCTCTGAGCCCAGCCTCCCCGGCTGTGCAGCAGAGCAGGGCTACCCTCCCTGCCGGGGGTCAGCGAGGATTGCAACGTGGCTGGGAGGGTCTAGCAACAACTTGCATGTGACAGGTGCTTCCTTGGGAGCCCTCTTCATCCCTTTGCTGGGGACGGGATTCCTTCCCACTCATTTCCTACCTGCGGGAAAGACCCGAGGCAACCACCTTTGCCTCGCTCTCGGAAAAGCTCACCCCATGATCTGGTCCGCCCCAGGGAGCCATCAGGGGCCTCCATCACTGCTGTGAGGATAGAAAGGCTTGCACCCATGTGAAACTCAAGGACCCGTGTGCATTTGCTGGCTGAGCGAGGCCTGTTGGGTGTCCACGGCTTGAGGCCGGGAGAAAGGACAAGAATTGGGTGCCGCAGAGAGTGGGTCCTGATTCTGCTGCTTCCTAGCTTTGCGACCCTGCACACACCCACTCACCTTCTCAAGCCACTGAATTCCCTGATTTGTAAAGAGAGGACAATAACTCTGATTTGAGTTGGAGACATTTCCTGGCCACTGGAATGACAGAGGGCAAACCTCTGCTGAACGCAGCAACATGTGGCCAAAACGCAAGACACAGTGAAGTGGATGGTCCCACATACAGCAAAAATGAGTTCCACCAAGAAGAGCTTTGTGTAAAATACGTTTTTAAAAATTCCCTTGGTAAAAGCAGAATATGGGACAAACACAAAATGTAAGAAGAGGGAACCTTGCCTTCGACGCCCAGCCCTTAATGCAGCCAGACACAGTGGGATGGGAATCGGCGTCAGGGTCCTGCAGGCCCTCGGCTCGGCGGGACTGAGCGCTCACGGCTGGGCCCGTGGCTCATCACATCCCCTGTAATGCCAGAGAGAGTGGGCCATCTGGAAACCCATGAGAACACAAAACTGGGTCTGTGAGAGTCGGGGAGGGGGCTTGTTGGGGTGTCTGTGTCTTCCACGTGCGATTTCTATTTGCAGACTATACATTACAAACACACACGGTGGGTGGGAGAACACGAGTCCTCCGGTCTTCAGGCTCCTGGCGCTCTCCGTTTGGCTAGTCCGTGCCCAGGGCCCGGGCGGCCTTCTTGGCGTTCAGAAAATTCTTCTTCTTCCTGGGAGGAGCGTGCAGCCAGGTCGCCGGCTCCCCTGGGTTTCTGAATATAAAGAGCTTCTCGCCTGTGTTTAACAAATCGATGGCTTCGGCCCCTACGATGGGCACAGGCACCAGCTCGCCACTGGACTCCAGGGACAGGTGTGGCCAGCTCCCTTTCCCAGGGAATGCTATCCTCTCTCTCAGAGGGGGACACGTCTTCTTCAATATGCTGGAGAAAGAACAGGTTATCACATGAGTGTCCTGATAAGAGCTCCCTAGGAATCCCCTTTTGGTCCCTAGATCCCCCATCAAGTACCATTTTAAAGAAAGGTTTTCTTGCTGGTCACCTGACTGCCCCTGGAATTAGCCGAAGCCTGTGGCAGTGCCATGCGGCAGACAAATCTTACCGACTCACAACTGTTACATTTTCAGGAGATTGGCGAGCCTGTTGTCATCCCGTCATTTGCTTGAAATCAGCCACAATAGGAGTATTTACACCACAGAAATTGGCACATGCTACACATCAGAGCTCCCGTCCCTCTCCCAGGACACCCCTGCCTGCGATCCTCACACTAAAAGCAGGCTGACAAAACCTGATTACAAAGCAACGGAAGTTAAGCAGAATGTGTCCGGGGTCCGCTTTGGGAGCGCGGCCCAGGAATTGCTTCGCTCCCCCATCCTCCGCCCGAGCAACTGACTTGTGTTCCTCAGTGGAGCACTTCACATTTGCAACAGCTTGAATCTCCTTTCCTAGGTTTGGGCTCAGTATCCTGACCTAATTTCTTTGGGACTAAATTCTGCTAAGCAGCCCATTATCCACGTCTCCAAGATGTTTCTCGTGGACCATTCAGGAAGCATGGTCTCAGCACCCTCACCTTGGCTCTGAGAAATTAGGGGAGTGGCAGGTCTCAGGTTAGACACTTCCCTGGGACTCCCACTGTTCCCAGGACACACGCTGGACACCACGTTTTCACCCGTCATGAATCCATGCTCCTCTTTCTCCGATGGGTATCCCCGGAGACACCCGGCCAACCACTTGTAGCATCTACAACCACCCTGCCCCTGCTTTCCTCTGCTCACCACGGTTAAAGAAGAAAGACATTCAGAGAAGAAAGCACTGGCCAGGGCGTTGAGGGGAATAAAGGGCTTAGTTAGATGCCCAAGTCCTAGGGGCCCTGTTTGGAGCCGCAGACCCGGGCCTCTTCGTCTGACCTCCCCGAGCGCCAGTGTTACCGGCCCCACTTCCTGGAAGGCGGGAGGCTCAGTGCAACAGGATGGGCCTCATCAGCTAGGAAGTGAGAACCGCTGTAAGGCATTACTTTCCTTCTGATGACGTCCCACTAAGGAGTGTGCACTGGTTACAAGAAGTACAGAAACTCTAACGCTAATGAAGGAGAGGGGAACATCCGCCCACTAGCTAGAGGCTTATGCCCAGCTCCTGAAGCGGGCCCACGTGGTCTTCAGGAAGGACCGGTCCCTTCTCCGTCCCCTCCCCCGCCCTGCCGTCCGGGCTCCCAGGCGGCCCTCCTCCCCAGCCCACCTGGGCAGTGCCCGCCATTACCTCTCCTTCCTCTGGCGAGCCCACAGCATCTTTTCCAATCCTCTGCTTATCAGCTCTCTGCGCAGTTTGCTTTCTAAGGCTTGCCACCAGCCCTGGTGTTTCCTGAAGGCGAGAAGGGGGCGTCTTATATTCTCAGAAATAATAGAATCTCCCAGCGAGCCCCAATCCTAAAAGGCACTACAGGCCCAGCCTGTGTGGCTCAGTGGTTGAGGGTCAACCTATGAACCAGGAGATCCTGGTTTGATTCCCAGTCAGGACACATGCCCGGGTTGTGCGCTCGATCCCCAGTAGGGGCGTGCAGGAGGCAGTCAATCAATGAGTCTCTCTCCTCATTGATGTTTCTATCTCTCCTCCCTTCTTCTCTCTTTAATCAATAAAAACATTTAAAAAAAAGGCACTGCAGGCTCCATCCTGACAGGGGAATCCAGAGTTTTCACTGTTTGTTCTCTCACTCACTCGAGGCACAGTGACCAAGTGCTTTCTCTGTCCTGGTCCAGACACAACCTCTGCCCTTAAGGGATCCCCGGTCCAGAGGTCACAGATGGGAAACAGGTGACATGCGTCAGGCAGAGAAGGATGCTGAGAGGCGGGGACATGAGTTGGGTCTTGGCGTCCCAGCAAAGGGAGCGTGTGGGATATTCATGAAGCAATGCCGTGAGCTGACGTTCAAGGACCTTGGGTTGGGTCAAGTCCATAAAGGACAGAGTGGACCTTAGGGTCCCGTCTGTGTCCAGCTCACACTGCGCCTCGGCAGTTCACGCCGCCCAGTGGTGGTGAGGATAGTCCTTCCCAGGCTGGACCAGGCTCTCTCTTCCAGGAGTCTAAGTCTTGGGCCCAGAAGGCTGGCACTCAGAGGGCAGCACCCCAGAGGGGTGCCCTGCGTGCTCTCCTGGTCCTGCCCTCTCAGGGCTGGGGGTTCCGACAGGCCCCTCGTATGCCCTTTCTTGCTTAGTCAGTTTGTTGTTGGAAACCCAAGGCTCTGAAATGATGTGACAAGGCATCTGGGACACAAGAGTAGTATCTCCTGCCCCCAGAGACTGTAACACACGAGCCATGAAGCTGGGCAACGAAAAGGCATGTTCACACTCCACACTCCAGGTTGCAGCCACCTGAGAGCTCATCACATCCCACATCAGACTGATCATGCTACTTACAAGCCCCACACTGAATTGGCCAAAGGGGCAGCCCCCCAAATAAGGTCCTCATGGGTGGCCCCTCAGGCAGAAAGGCTTCCCTGTAACCATGTATGCTCCGGCTCCAGTCACCTCCAATACCTGCCACTTGCATGTCCCACCTGGTTGTGCACTGGAGAAAGAGCCGCGACACGCTGCGCTCTAACCACCCCCTGCCCAGCCCCGGCCACGCCCACACCCAGCTCTCTGACCAGAATACTTCTTAAGATTCTACTTGAAAAATAAATTGACCACAGAAAGAGAGAAAGTGAACAAAGCAGTGGACCCACCAGGACTGGAAACCGACTCCTGGCGACTCTCCTGGGGGCCGAGCAGGGAAGGCTGTGCGCGCGGGTCCCCCGCCCCTCCGCCATCCGCTCCCCTCCTGGACTCTTGCTCAGTTTCCCAGGGATGCGGGCGCTGACTCACCCCCTCCGGCCCAGGTCGGCCTGCTCCCCGCCGCCCGGCTCTGCTGCGGGGTCCGGCTGCTTCTGGCTGACCGAGTCCAGCAGGGCCAGCAGCTCGGGCTGTGCGGCCGTGGGCAGGGCCACGCTCAGGAGGCGGCGCAGGGTGCCCGCGGGCACCATCGTCAGCTTGGACAGGTACGAGGCCAGCCTCAGCTCCTGGGGGTGAAGGCAGGGAGCTCAGGCCACGGCGCGCTAACCCTGGTGAACGGCACAGGCTAAGATGCCTGGTCCCAGGGAAAGAAATATTTCAGTAGCTCGGTCCTAGAACCATGTTCCCAGATTCACAGAGCTGTCAAAATAAAACCTACTTGGTCAGCAGCCTTGGCTCCCCATTACATTTCCACAGCCATCATCCGCCCCTTCTGACAACACCCAGCTCACTCGCGGTGACTAACACCCGGCCTGCAGCAGCGACACTTAGTAATGTCTCCTCCTACTCAGGTTCCCAGTGGTGATGTGGCCCCGGGGTGGGGACAGCACAGGCTCTGGAAACAACAGAAAGTCCCCAAACCAGTGGACGATCAAAGAAATGCGCTATGGCCCTGGCAGTGGTTAGAGCATCGGCCTGAGCACCAAAGGGTCGAGGGTTTGACTCCTGGTCAAGGGCACGTACCTGGGTTGCGGGTTTGCTCCTTGCCCTGGTTGGGGCGCATGTGGGGGGCAACCAGTTGATGTGTCTCTCTCACATCAATGTTTCTCTCTCCCTCTCTCTCTCCCCTTCACTCCCCTCCCCTCCTCTCTCTCCGAAGAGCAATAGGAAAAATACTGGTTATAGAATAGTTCTATGTTCTAATTGTGGTGTTGGTTACAGGAGTCTATATGAAACGAAGTGACAGATTTTATAGCACCCTCAATGCCCTGGCCTTGATGTTGTATTGGGTTTTGTAAGGTGCAACCACTGGGGAAACTGAGGGAAGTATGAGAGGGGCACTGGAGCTCTCTGAGCTCCCTTGGCAACTTCCTGAGAATCTAAAATTATTTCTTAATAAACGGTTATGAGAGAGAAGAGGCTCTGTGCTCCCGAAAACCCGGGTCGGCCTCCCAGCCCTGCCACGTGGAACTGTGTGTCCCTGGGCAATGTCCTTATTTCTCCTCAGTGTGAACCCGGGCAAGTTTCAGCTTTGTAGGAGGGGGCGATAACAGAACCGGCCCGGCAGTGACACAATGAGTGTGGAGTACTTTGCAGGGTCCTGCCACAGGGTAGGTGGCCTCTCCTTTAAATATCTGCTCAGCTCTTCCCCAGGTCTGTGTTTTCATCCCACCCACGGGTAAGGAAAGGCGGACTCTGAGAAAGGGACGTGCTGGTAAGAAATGGAGCCGGGACTGGGCTGCCGGGTTCTCACCTGGCTGTACAGGGTCACAAAGGTGTCCGCCTCCAGAGTCTCCAGCAAGTCTTCGAGCATGACACTGCTCTCCTGCTCCTCCCGCAAGCTAGAGTGGAATAGAGTCTATGTGAGTTGTTTTGTTATAAAGCGGTCCTATGAGACCGTCTAGTTATTTAATAACAATGAACTGCAACCTAATCCACATTGTATTTTATTAAATCCATGGAGAGGGGTGGCCAGAGAGGCTACGTCTTCTTGCCTAGACTACTTTGCAATAACGTTTCGGGGAGGAACCATCAGGATGGACGGCTCCTCAAAGTGAGGAGCTTCGAAGCAAGTGTGTGGTGACTTCAGTGTGGCTTTGCAGGGTGACCTGTGACCCTACTTTGACAATTCTCAGTATTGTCGTGGCCATGCTCAAGAGGACCAGGCTCCATGGTCTCATCCACCATGTGCCCTCGGGTTATAGCAGACCCAAGACCATCTCTCAAGGATGCTCCTGGCTCTGACCAGAGGCCGGGTGGCACCTTTCATGCACAAGGGTCTCCCCATGAGGCATCCTGACTCCCCACCAATTCCTTAGCCCACCCAAGCTGACATGACGGATTATCCGCTCTGCATTCTCCCTGGTTAATACAACCCAGACCCTCTGCAGGTACAATTCACAGCAAAGGCCTGACCACCAGCCATGTCTCCTCGAAGCACAGAGTACATGGGGCAGGAAGCAGCCTAGGTCCTGCTCTAAATCAAGCCAGCAGATCTGGGCATCTCCCTCCGATCACAGGGACTCAGCCTCTCATACAATCACTCCAGTGGAACAGAATTACACTCTCAGGCGTGTTTACACAGAAAAGTGTAAACTGGTCAATTAAAATCACCTGTAACCTCACTGCCCAGAAATCGCATCCATCGCAATGTGGTCCATTTCCTTCCAACGAATGTGCGTGTGTTTAAACAACGGAACCACGCTGTGTCTACCGTCTGCACCCACGCTTTCCACATCGGCATCACCCTCCCGGCGGAAAATAGGGAGCTTTTTTTTTAAAATTGTGTTTTCTGAGAATTGTTATGCTGCAGGCAAAGGCTAACGTCTAATGTTAATTGAAAAGGAAAGCAAAGAACACCAAATAAAGATCGGGGCTCTGTCTGTGTCACAATTTTACAAAAGCAGGATATAAATGTGATGTAACTGGCAAGGCCGAGGAAGGCCGGTGTCCAGGGCCCTCTGCCCATGTCAAGGTCGGTGCCCCCTTGGATTATGTGTTGTGAATACACAAGATGCTCCCCTGGGGGAGCCGGGGGAGGGGCGCCTGCAACCTCTGCACTATTTTTGTGGCCTCTTGAGGGTCTATAATTATTTCAAAACAAAAAGTTTAAACATATTATGTTCAGTAAAACCTCAATGATATTAAAAAGAAATGAAGTCTAGAAAGATGTTGTGGAAGAATGCTACACAGTGAGCAGCTCCTGCCGAGCGCTGAGATGACACCTCCTTTTTGAACTGAGCGTGACAGGCAGGTGCCCCCGGGCATGGACATCACACCGTGCCGTCGGCTGTCTCACCTCTGCTGGTGGTGCTCCAGTAATTGCTGGCTCTTGCTCAGGGCTCGCCGCAGCACAGCGGACACCTGCCTTTCAGAATCGGTGTCCTCGGACTCATCCAGGAGGCTGGACCCGTCCCCTGCCCACTGCTGCCGACTGGCCAGGGCCCGCTGCAGCTGGGCCGCCTCCTGGTGGGCCAGCTCGTCCTCCAGCTTCCTTTCCAGCTCCTGGAGCTCCTGCAGGCAGAAGGGCAGGCGGTGAGCACAAGGCGGATGGGGGCAGGAGAAATCCCGCCTGTGCTTTGACTGCTTTGCACAGCATTATGAAAGAAACACTCCCGCTGTTGACCAGAAGATGCACCCATTTCAGAGATGTGAAAAATGTTAAAAGGTTTGCTTTTTAGAGGCAATGAAATAGATCCGCCTTGGGCTGTGAGGTACCACGTGCTCCCGGGTAAGTTACCTCACTCAACCCTCACCATGACCCTGACCCTGCAGCATAGACAGGACAGGAGGCCGCCCGTTGGACTGTGGAGAACCAGAGATGGGCACCAGAAAGAGCCAACGAAGGACTGCACAACCCCGTCCTCAGCCCCAGGCCTGCACTCACGGGACTGTGGGACTCCAGGATCTGAGCGCAGGCTGCCTTGGTCAGGGTCTCCGACTCGCTCAGCTCCTCCAGCAGCAGGTCCTGGATGCTCAGGAGGGCGGTGTATGTCCACAGTGTCTTGGCCATCCTGGCTGCCTTCTGGAACTGCAGGGAGACGAGGGACTCTGCGAAGCGAGCCTCCTGGGCCTCCAGCTGCTGCACCCTCTCCCGCAGCAGCTCTCCTCGGACCTGGGAGGGGCAGAGCCAGAAACCAGAGGGCAGATGGTCAGTGGAGGGAGGAGAGAGAGCAGCAGCTTACAAACAGCAGCCTGTTAGATTTCGATCCTTAATTCAGGGCTCTAAGCAAGGTCTATGATATATACAAAGCAGCAGCCCTGCAGTCTACAGTTTCAGACCCCAAGGGCACCTCTGATTACAGACTCCATGGGGCTTTGGGGTCTAGCTGTTCATTCCACTTTGACGACTGTTGAAGGTAAATCAAACCTTGTCGCCATCTGACATGAAATCCTTCAAGGCTCCCCATCGTGAGATGGGGGTCATACTTCCTAGTGCAGGCTCTGCGGCCCTCCTCACCCTGATCCCAGCCAAGGTATGCCTGGACCGGTCTGGTCTGTCCTGCCACCTGCACCCAAACCTGGGGCTCCACCCTCCCCAATAGCTCACGGCCCTACACTCCATTCTCAGTGTCCACTGTGCAAGCTCCTCACTATGGCCTACGTGTCCCCCGCATCCTCTCTGTCCTCAGGGTCTCCGGTTCCCAACTAGCTGCTTTGAAACATCCTCACTCTACACGTGTTTGTCACTCTCTTTCTGTGGCTCCCACATTCCATGCTCTTGGCCCAGGGGCACACTCACCACGCCGTTCACCCCACTAAGACACGAGCTCCCCTGGAGGACTCAGCACCCAAGGGGCCCAGTAAACTCTAGATGAGTGAATCCATTCCCTCCACCCATTCACTCAACTAAGTAGCTCATTCCGGCATCTATGTATTTTTTCTCTACGACCACTAGCTCTTACACTTTTTCTAGAAAATCTGCTACAGTGAACAAGGCAGTCTAACACTTCCCAGACTTCATCATCTGAGCCCCCAAAGGCAGTCCCTGTAGGTGTGCACCCCTCTCCCCTGCAAGGAACCGCATTACTGAGGCCCTGACTGCCCGGTACAGGAAGGCAGACATTCTCCTGGGACAATGGGAAGGGCTATGGAGAACCCACTGAAAGTCCTGAAGAGGAAACACATGAGTCACAGGCAGGTGAGTAAGAAAAGGATGAGAGGTCCCCTTACTACACACCTGCCGTGAGCTCAGGTTTTCGCAGTCACTCTGAGTGGTCTCCCTCTTCCCCACCCTGGGTGGATGCAGGCCCGTCTCCTGTAGGGCCTGGCCCCCTGTGGAGGCGTGGGGTAGATGGGGTGACTACACGGGCTACGTCTCAAGTTTATTTATACAGATTCACACCTAAAATGTGGGGGAGGCCTAAAGCCTTTGGTTTGTGCTTCAGAACAACGTGGACAGTGAAATTAAGAAGAGATTCTGGGAAATCCTCTCTTCTTGTCTTGGGAAAGCCAAACCTGTTCATTTAGGCACCAGGAGAGTGTGCCTCTAGAGAGGGTGTTCATCTGAGTCTGAATGAACTCCGGAGCGGATACAGATTTGCATTTCTATGCTTATTAATGACAGGCTTCATTAAATATTCAAGCTGCCAAAGTAATAAACACTCATTTGCAAAAACATACTCTGCTAAATACTCTGATTTTAAATGGAAAGTTCCAACAGCTTCCTCAAGAGCTTCCCTGACAGCATGTGAATTTCAAAGTAGCTTCTTCTAGGCACCGTGATGTCCTTTAAAGGCAAAAAATAAGACTGACCTGTGTCCACCAGCAGAGAACTGGTGGGATTCTAAGGAGTTCCGGACATAGCCCTCCTCCTTGCCCAGGCTTCTGGACATAGCCCTCCTCCTTGCCCAGGCTTGGAAACAAATAAAACCAGATAGACACCAAATGTCAGCTTTCATGTCGATGAAAACTAGATTGGAGGATGTGTGTCCAAATGAATGTATGCTCCCCAAACAGCAGGCCTCCCCACCAGGCTCACTGCATCCTGAACAGGAAATGAGGGCTCCCTACAGGCGGCTAATTAGGAGGGAGCTGAACTGAGCATGCCCAGTTCCTTCTTTCATCCCACCCATCAGATAGCACCCTTCCTGAAGAAAGTGGGCAAGAGATGGGGAGAAGCTACACGTGTCACCAGCAAAGTCCCTCCTTGTAAAAAAAGAGTGGTCGCATCAAGAACCTCATATCGTAATGCTGGCAGGAGATGGCTGATTTAAATAGGAGCCTGCACTTGTATTCTGGGGGCTGGTCCTCCTGAGGGGCAGGCCAGTTTAACCCCTTCTTTGCCAGATTAAATGCCTGGAGGATATAAGAAGATGGAAATTGTTTTCTGAGCCCACACTGCCCAGCTGGCTCCCTTCACCCACAGCTTGCTTCTTCTACCTCTGTGACTTTCTAATTAAACTTTTGCTGGTGTTTGAGTCTTGGCTCTGAATTCTTTCTTAGCCAAAAACTCAAGGACTGAGGTCTAACGTCTGGTGTCGGTTTGTTTGCCTTTAACAGATTTGTAAAAAGTATCCACTGTTTTCTTCAAGACAGAAGGGAAAGGTGGAGAAAATAGGGAGGAAACGAGAGCAACAAAGTTTTAAAAGCTGGAGAGTCCATGGCTGAGGGCCTAAGGACTCAACGAATCCCAAAGGCTGAATTCTAAGCCGGCTGTGGAGTAATGAGCCAAGGAGCAACATCATTTACGCCGCAGGATCCCCCAAGTCTTGGAAAATGCAGGCACAAGAAGCGGGGGGTCAAAGTGGAAGGTAAAGAGGAAAAGCTGAGCATCTCACTGAGAGACAAGCCTTCAGACCCCCCGCCTTCCCCGCCCAACTTCTGCTAAGCAGACCCTCCTCCTGCCTCAGCCCAGCTGACAACTGGAGATTCATCTCTAAACTGGGAGAAGCCAGGCGCGGCTGAAGGCGGAGGCCCTGCACTGAGAGCAGAGGGCTCAGGGGAACCTTCACATCCTGACCACTAAGGTCACAGCTCGCTTCCCCCTTTGGCTCCTGCAATGTGGGCATCCAGGCCTGTGCCACCAGGCAGGAGGCTGGTCTTCTCTGGAGAAGCCGACCAGTCTCAGGAAAGGTCTACAATACTGACACTGGGGGCGGTCCCCCAGTGAAAGGGCCAGCTGGTCATACCAGAGTGCAGGGCACAGTCTGAGAGTCCCGCTTACAGGCTTGGCGCCCCCATGCAGCTTTAAAGCACCCAACTCAGTAAAAGAGCAGACCACCGGGGACGGCCCGCACCTGCTGACATACCAGTAAATGTGCAGGAAGTTTTATAAAACAGCTTTCAAAACCATGAATGTCCTCAGGGAGATACAAGAGGTCAGGGGCCTTCAAACAACAAGAGCATGTTCTGTTTTTAAGAGCATTCAGAGAGGAAAACTCCTGAAAAATCAGAAATTTAAAGCATAAATGAAAAACACAACTAAAGGTTTGGAAGAAAAGCTAAGAATATTCCTCAGAAAGTAAAACAAAAGATCAAAGAGAAGGAAAATAGTAAAAAAAATTAAAAAGTTAATCATCAAAATTATTTAAGAAAATTTCCCAGAATTCCAAGATTGGTCCAACTATCTGTCATGTAAGGGAGCAGAGTAAAAGCATTTCAGTCTTGCAAAATTTCAAAACATTACTCTCCCATGTGCCCTTTCCTAGGAAACTAACAGAGGGTGTGTTCCATTAAAATTAGAAAGATATCAGCAAAGAGAGGGGTGGAGAAATCCACAGCGTGACCCCAAGATGGCAGCTGTGCATAAGGTGCAGTGGGCACCGTCCAGGTGGGAGCACAGCAGAGGCACAAAGCAATGTCTTCCAGATGATGTAGTTACTAGAAGGCAAGGCTAGTGTGATGGCCCAGGTAAGGTATTTGGCCCACGGTCAAGAAGTGGGCTGAATTAGTGATAAGTACATAGAGAAGTTACCAAAAAACCAAAAAAACAAATGATAATAATAACTCCAAGAAAAACAAAAAGTTGCCCAGGAAAAAAAAGAATCTTGGCTTTTATAAGGCTCAGATGTCAATAACATTTAAAAAACCGTAATAACAGAAATCTTAGCTATGGATCTCACTACATTGAGGGGAGAGACAGGAAGGGCTCATGTGTTTGCAGGTTGAAAGAAGTGAAATCTTATCTTCCAGAAAGAAAGTAAACAGATGATGTCAGAGTTGAGAAACTGAGAACTAGCGAGACAAGTACGTTACTTAGAGACATGGAGGCCGGCATGAAGAGATCAGGCTGAAAAATGAGACGTTACTTCTGGGGATTTAAAAAGTGTGTGTCTGTGGCTGCAGGGAGCCTGTTTTTTTTTAAAGCACAAACTCTGCAGAATTATTTGACTCCTTAAAAGAATGCATGCACAAACTCAAGAAAAAACATAAAGTGGCATTTTAAAGTGGACAGTGTAAAGAAAAGTTACTACGTTGAGACCATGCGAAGGCAACCGTGGTAATGTGGTAACATTTCAGTCCATGGAAGGTGGAGCGGAACATGGGATTGGAAAGGGGAGCGGAAGACCCGCGGTGAGGCCTTGAACACCACGCTCAGGAGTCTGGATTTGTTTGGGGCAGTGGGAAGCCATGAGATTTCCCTCTGAAGGATGCTGCAGGGAGAGGACGTTGACAGGCTGCCTCCGGGGATAAAACAGGGGCAGGAGGAGGCATGGAGAGGACCACATGGGGGCTTTCCCGGCCTTCGGATGGATGGCGTTCCCCCCGCTTCCTAAAACACCTTCCCTCCCGACCTCTTCCAGTCTAAGCTCTGCGAGGACCTGGGCCATCAGATCTCCCCCTTGTCAGGTCATCTGAAATGAGCACGCTGTTCTCATGCTTAAACTCTCGCCACTTCTGAAATGACAGGTGGCAGCGCCGGTCCTGACGGAGGCGCCCTTGACAGAGGCCCCGCCTGCACCGCCGAGTACCTGCCGGGGCCGCGGCAGAGCCACAGCAGGACGCGCAGCCGCAGGGGCTGAGCGGAGGCTGCTGACGAGCCGCGGGGGCCTGGACCCGTCCAGGGACTGAACACCGAACGGGCGAGCCGACAGGTGGCGGCCATGCCACCCAGACGCGGGCAACGTCGCTCGCATCCAGAAGGAACGGGTGAGCGGGAAAAACGGGCCTGTCGTTTTCATTTACATTTACAGGCTGCTACGGAATATCTATGAGAAATTTACACACGCTCTGTGCAAAAACAGCAGGAGGTGCAGCAAAGAGCCACCGAAACGTCCCGTTCCCGGGTCCCTCGAGCAGATCTGCTGACTGAACGCAGACGGGCGTCCGGAGACCTGAGCCGCAGCCCTGGCCACTGTGCTCAGTGGTGTCACCTCCTACATGTCCCTCCTCAGAGAGCCCTAACTGGACTCTCCCACCTCAGTCTGTCCCGCCTCCCTTCCCCCGTCACGATCGCACCATCGTGTTCCCGTCCCGAGCGGCGCAGATCACGGCCTGTCACCGTAGGTGCCTTCCACCCACCCTCCCCAAGCAGAACGTGTGCCCGGGAGAGCTGGGACCGGGGTTCGTCGGCGCAGCGCCCGAACACTGCTGCCCCCTCAAAACACCAGCGGACTGAACCAACAGCGCAGTACATGTCCCGGCGAGAAAGGGAGTTGAGGGTGGGGGTACGCGAGGAGGAGTGGGTGTTCCAATACGGCTCTTGAAAGAGGGGACCCCTGAGGACGGAGGCCACCCGAGGACGGCTGAGGACTGAGTTCATCTGGCCAAAGAAGGTGGGAAGGTGACTGCGGGGAGAGGGAGGAGCGCGGGCAGACAAGCACCACGCGGTCGAGGTGCCTCCTGCAGGAACAGGAGGCGTGACCGGGGGTGATGGCCCGGGCCAGGCACGAAGGTGGGGCGACGCCAGGTAGCGGGGCAGCAGCAGGGGGGACCTGAGGGTGACCTGGAAGCCTCCAGGGGCACAGGTGGAGGAAGAGGGTTCCAGAAGGAAGGAGCGGGTGCAGGGGCGTGAGGGGAAGGGTCGGGTCCACCCAAGACAGTTTGGAATCGTGGTGTTTGGTGGAGGCGGACAAGCGGCCCCAGGCCCCACGCACCCTGCGCAGGGTGGCCGCCGGCCCCGCCAGGTGCAACGGGAAGCGGGTGGGGAGGGAGCTCTGACCTTCTCGGCCAGGTCTTCAGGAGCCGGTGCGTCGAAGAGCTGGATTTTATCCTCGAGGCACTTCCTCAGGAGGTCAATCTTGCTCTTGCTCTTGGCGCGCGGCTTTCTCGCCCTGGACTGCTGCTGGAGAGGGGGAGAGAACACAAGGCACCAAAGTGACCGCCAGCTCGTCAGGCAGCCCCCAAAGCCAGAGACGCCTCTGCAGCTCACGGATCGCACCACTGCCTCTGGCGGGAGGCGGACGGAGGTTCTTTCCCAGGACAAGCTCAGCCCACAGGCCTTCAACCTCATGGTCTCTGGTGGGCTCCTCCTGCCAGAGGGAGGACAGGGCCTCTGCTGGGCAGAGCCAGAGCCTGGTAGTCAGGCAGATGGGGATAATAACAAAAAAAGAAAATTGTGGGTCAAGGCCTCTTAGGTACAGAGCCAGGCTGGTGGGCAAGACCTTGAAGCCCAGAGCAAGGATTGGGGCTGGAAGAAGATAAGGCTAAGAGAGACCGGGGCAGGGGGGCCGGGGGAGTGAAGGAGGTGACAACTGGATGCATCTCTTCCCAACTCCATGCACAGTGAAGTCAAGTTTGCAGACTGAAATTGGCCTTAGGAGTATTTACACCAGGGAAATGGGCAAAAGCTACAAATCAGGACTTCCCTCCCCCCACATCCCTGAACCTCCACTGAGAGTCAGTTTACCAGCACATGTCTGAGATCATGGTAGAGCTTACACCCCAGCAGAGAGCCACAGAAAGGCTTGAAGAAAGGGGGAAATCTGACTCTTAGAGATGACAAGGTCCTCAAGAACTCATTTATTAATAAACACAATTTATGGCACACCTACTATGTGACAGGCACTTTCTAGGTTCTAGGTTCACGTCTGCTAATGGACAATGCAAAGCCCTGGGCAAGGGGATCTGGGCTGGGCACCAGTGTGTCCACTACAGACCTTAGGATTAGGACAAGCCTGGTGGTTCCAGGAATAGCTGATGCCAAAAGGGCTGGAGAGGAGAGGATGGGGGCAACTGAGATGAGCCCAGTGTGGGCAGTGGGGTGGTATTCCATAGCATCCGTAGGAGATGCACCCCCTCTGCATTTAAGAGGCCATCAAGCCCTGGCCTGGTGGCTCAGTTGGTTGGAGCATTGTCCCGTACACCAAAAGGTTATGGGTCCACCCTGGCCGGTGTGGCTCAGTGACTAGAGTGTCAGCCAAGCACAGAAGTGTTGCAGGTTCGATTCCCAGCCAAGGGCACATACCTGGGTTGCAGGTTTATTCCTGGCCCGAGGGTGCATGTGGGAGGCAACCAATCGATGTCTCTCTCTCCCATCAATGTTTCTCTTTCTCTCCCTCCTACTCTCTTTTAAAAGAATCAATAAACACATGCTCAGGTAAAGATAAAATTCAAAAATAAAACGAGGCCACCTAGATGTCCCTCTGACCTGCAGCTCCGGGGCAGCCAGGGCCTGGTCCAACTTCAGGAACTCTGCCTCCCGCCAAGCAGTGTGAAGCCGCTGCAGCAGGACGCGGGCCCGGACTCTGGGGAGGGCCAAGCTCCTGTCCATCTGCGTGAAGCAGGCGTGCATGTCCTGCCTTGCCCTAAGCAGCTCCTCTTCGGACAGGGAGAAGGCCGAGCGGCAGAGCCTCCTGGTGAAGCAGGAACAGGATATGGCTGAGTGATATTCCATTTATACAGGCGCCACATGTTCCACCCACTCGTCCATCGACGGATGCCCGGGATGCTTCCGTACCCTGGTTTTGTCAGTCAGGAGGCAATGAACTCTTACCATCTAGGACAGCATGGATAGACCTAGAGGGTGTTATGCTCGGTGAAATAAGTGAGACAGAGAAAGACAAATACTACATGATTTCACTTATATATGGAATCTAATAAACAAACGAATAAAATGAGAGCAAAATCATAGACACAGAGAACAAATTGATGGTTGCCAGATGGGAGGGGGCCTGGGGGGTGGGTGAAGGGGTTAAGATGTACAGATTGCTAGTTATAAAAATAGTCACAGGGCTGTAAAGTGCAGCTTAGGAAACAAAGTCAATAATATTATAATTCAGAAGTACGAGGCCCAGGGCCTCTGACCGGAAGGACTTTAAAACCCAGGCAGGAGCTCAGGGAAGAAGTTTCTTTCCCTGGCAAAAGTCTGCGTCCTTAGTAATTCCTACTTCATCCGACCAGGTAGCAGCTCCATCCTGCTGGAAACCGGGAAGCTTATAAAAACGGGTTTCGGACTATTGTGCAAAGCCACTTTTACATAACGCCTATGAAATAGAGGCCGCAACCTTTCAGAATCATAAATAAGCAAAGTATTTGAGCAGAAGGACACCACGTCTGCTGTTAGGCAACCCTCTGTAACCCTCAGAAAAGCCAGACTCTTCTGATAGCAACATGCAAGTCTATTTTTCCTGCTGGGCGACTCAAGCGGTGGCGGCTTTAGTCATAACCCTGCAGAATGTGTCCAGATGAAGTTGGGGAAAACGACCGTCTGGTAAAAGGTTGTCAAGTCCAATGCAGGTGCCTCAGAAGGGCCAAGCAGGGGGATGTGTAAAGAGACTTTGGTGGAATGTAGGTTGAGCTGAATAATTACCGCTGAGAACAACTTGTGGGTTGGGAAATAGCATTTAAGAAGCTGATGTATGTGGGCTTGGAGAAGACGGCATCTCGTTTGTTCAAGAAAACAAACACTAACGAAGATCAGGAAATAAATGAAGACAGAACCACACAAGAACCACACAGGTGAGATGAGAGAGCCAGGGAGCCCCTTCATCTAAACCGAGACAACATCACTCTCTGCGGACACCTGGGGACCTGTTTTCCCTGGAGGAAGGTCAGGCCCGGGACCAGCACTGAGGACGCAGAGACAGTCAACCGTCAGGGCCAGGAACATCCTGTCCCATGGGAGGTAACCGCCACCAAGCAAGGATGGGCACTGCAGAATGACGCTCTGCTACGTGGGCCCTCACAGGGTCCGGGAAGAACACAGGCCGCAGGGCAGGTGGGGAGGACCACCCACCGGCGTGGAGCCAACGGAGCAGCTGGGTCAACAGCGAAGGAGGGCGACAGGCGGACTTACAGGATTTACTAGGAAACTCACTCTCCTTCCTTCTCGCCCAACCGCCACCCACATCCCTCCACAGCCCTGTGTCGGTGATGCCATTTCCAATAAAAAGGGCTATAGATTCAGCATTGAAGCTAAGACTCAACTTAAACTGTTGAATGTCTATACCAAGAAGAGAACAGTTAAAAGGGTTGGGATTTTGTTTCTTTGCTTAAATGGGGTTTTCTAGGTTGGTGGGCTGGTTGGTTTGTTGAAAGGAAAAGAAACTTTGAGGAATATTGGGAGTAGGACTACCGGTTAAAGAGAAAAGAGGCTCCCCTCCTCTTATCAAACATCACTTCTCATCTGGGGACTGGGTGAGGTTCCTGCGTATCCAGCAGTAGTGGGTTCAATTCCGTCTGCCCATGAATCTATTCAAACAAAGCAATCACATCCTCTCATGGGCACCAGGGGCACCCCCACCCTCATAACTATAAAGCCTGCTCCCTGCGGCCCCTGCCCATTCACTGCAACCCCCGAGGGGCCCTGGGTGTCATGCGGTGACTCAGAAACTGTCGTCAACCTCATCCGTCCAGCGTCAGATGTCTCATGTTCACCACCCCATAACCCCAGGGTGGAGCCCCTCCCTCACCTGTGGTCAGGTAGGAGGCCATGGAAAGGCACGGGGATACTCACATAAAGACCCAGCGCCCCCAGTGTCGCAGTTCCGCCTGCTCCTCCACCGAGGGCTCCAGGGCATCCTCCTTGAGCCTCTGCCTCACGCTCCGGACGCCCTCCTGGTCCCGGTCCCTCTCCTGGGCCTCGAGCTGCTGGGCGCAGGCGGCCAGCTCCGCGCCGTGCTCCTCCAGGATCTGCTGCAGGAAGAGCCAGGGCACGCCGCGCTTGAGCAGCTCCTGCGTGAGCGTGGAGCTCTGCAGGCGCCGCAGCTCCTCCGTGGCCTTCTCGAACAGCGCCAGGGTCAGCGCCCTGAGCTCGTCCAGGGCCGCCTGGTCCAGCCGCTCCTGCAGCTCCTCCAGGGCGGCGCCGTGGTCCGCCGCGAGGCGCCGCCAGCGGCCCAGGTACTGGCCCACGTCCTGGGCGGCGCGGAAGGCTTCCCCGAGGGCCAGCTGCTCCTTCCGCTGCTCCTTGTGCTGGGGGGTTGCAGAGGGGAAAGGAAGTGGGACAGGCTCAGTCACAGAGCCCTTTGGGAAAACAGCGTGGAAATTTGCCAAGGGAAGCTGAGAATGGTTAAGCCTTTTCCCAACACGCACACATTTAGGAAATTATCCTGAAGAAAATCACCCAGCCTGGCCAGTTTGGCTCACTGGTTAGAACCTCAGCCCACGGACTGATGGGTCTCAGATTCAATTCTGGCCAAGGGCACTGCCTCCGCTGCAGGGTCATCCCTGGCCCCAGTCGGGAGGCAACCAATCCACGTGTCTCTCTCACATTGATGTTTCTCCCCCCACCCCCTCTGAAAAGCAAAGGAAAAAAATCCTGGAGTGACGATTAAAAAAAAATAACCCAAAACATAGTGAAAACTTCATTTGTGCCACATTTATCAAACACTCATCTACTGACTAGGTGATGCCCAGGAGGCAGGCCCCTGGAGTCCAGTCCTGGCATATCCACGGACAAGTGGATGCGAGCATCTTATCCTCGTGGTGACTCCATTTCCTCCACAGTAAAGTGGGGAGAAGAGCACCCACCGCGTAGTTGCTGCTAGGATTCAGTGAATTGCTTAATACAAGTGTAGCTCTTAACACACATGCAGTTCTTAACACCCATGAACCGCGTCCTGGGGGACAGACGGGCATTGGGTGTGCCCAAGGCCAGGAGGGAGGTGGCAGGCAGTGGGGAGGTGTCTTGTTTGAAGGAGACGCGCTCAGGCAAGAAGGCAGGAGCGCCCCGCTGTGCCTGGGACCTGAGAACCTGCCAGGCTGCGTGTATGCGGGGGTGAGGGCGGGCAGAGGGGAATGCCCAGGAGTGAGGGCGCAATGTGCTGAGGTTACCTGCACCCGAGGACAGTGGGAACGTTGAAGGGTTTTACAAACTCATGCTCCGCAGAGCCTCCCCAGCAGAAAGGGCAACTTCCGCTCTGCATCACTGGGGTGCACTGTGCAGGGTGTGAAGTGGGTATGTAATGGTGCATTTACGTGTGTACGTGCCGGTCTCTCGCCCGCAAGGTGGGCAAACAGCTGAGCAGGTGCATGTCAAGAACAAGGCTGGGGCTCCAGGTCAGACAGGCCTGGGTTCAATCCCGCGGCTGCCCCTTACTGGATATCTGACCCTGACCACGTTACTTAAGGCTGTGACCTGAATGTTTGTGTCCCCCAAACACTAACATGTTGAAACCTAATGCCCGATGTGATGGCGCCTGGAGGTGGGGCCTTTGGGAGGGAGGCGCTTGGGTCATGAGGGTGGAGCCCTCATGGATGGGACCGGTGCTCTTAATAAGAGACCCTAGAGAGCTCCAAGCCCCTTCCACCACATGAGGACTCGGGGAGAAGGCAGCCAACTGCAGCCCAGAAGAGAGTCCCCGCCAGAACCCACCACGCTGGCATCCTGAGCTCAGGCTTCCGGCCTCAGAACTGTGAGATAAGAAGTTTTGTTGTTTATAAGCCACTTAGTCTGTGGTGTTTTGTTAGAGCAGCTGAAACAGACTAAGACACTGAGACACTCAATAACTGTTCCAGCATCGCCCTCCATGCCTGCACCCTTACCCGGGCAGACATTGCTAATCCGCCACGACCCTCTGCCTTGACACCATATTCCAAAAAGTCACTCCCAGTCAACCACAGATGGCCCGTCAGGGCGCCCGCCCAGTCACCAGGAGGATCCCAGCTCCCGCAGGGCGAGGCCAGTGCTGGCGCTTGGTGGCTGATCAGAGCGGTTATGCAAAGAATAAACGGCAGAACCCCTTCTGTACCTTTTGCAGCATCTCTCGTCTTCTCTTAATTATTAACTTTTGGTGGAGCTTTTTCTTTTCCTGCTTCAGGTCATTTTCCAGCTTCTGCTTTATAGAGAAGACTTCGGTCTGAGCCCGCTCCATCAGCACTTCCATCTGGTCTTCATCCAAGTACCCTGCTCTAGAGGAGGGAGACGCGGGGTTAATGCCCTCCCCAAAGTCACCTCCAGCCTACTGCTGCTGTGGCCGAATGTTTCTCTCCGTATTACTTTGGTCTGAATAAGAGTCTTTACCCTGAAGGAGCAGGATAACGGGCAGTCGAGACATTACTGAAATACAGGAAGGGTCAGGACAGTGTCACTGCGGATGAGCAGACAGAGCTCAACACCGGGGGAGAAATCACCCGGGAGGGCGGAAATTGAGCAAGACTTTGGGGAGAAAGGACTAGTCAAGGGGCCACTGGGGTACAGGCAGAATCTTCCAAGAGGAGATGGTGGGGTAGGAATTCCTGGTGATGAGAACGGCAGGAGCAAAGTCTAAGAGGTAAACGTAGGGAATACTCCAGGAGGGTTAATTCTGTGTGACTTTGACTGGCTATGGTGCCCCATTAAACAGGATTAAACAGGGTTTCTGGGCGTGTCTGTGAGGGGGTTTCTGCATGAGATCAGCATTTGAATCAATGGACTCAGGAAGCAGATTGCCCTCCTCTGTGTGGGTGGGCCTCCTCCAATCAGTTGAGGGCCTCAGTACAGGCGGGGAAAGAGGAATTGGACCCTGTTTTTCCTGCCTCACTGCTTGAGCTGGGACATCTCATCTTCTTCTGACCTCAGACTGGAAGCCCCCGGTTCTCAGGCCTTTGGACTCGGAATGAATTACATCGCCAGCTTTCCTGGGCTCCAGCAGGCAGACAGGAGAGCCTGGGACCGCTCAGTCTCCTTAACTGCATGAGCCAGTTCCTCACATACATCTCCTGTTTTCTGTTTTTCTGGAGAATCCTGACTGGTACACTCTGTTACCACCAAGATTACCATCATTTTCCCAGTCTGCCTGTGTCCCTGGGCTGGCCACCTGCTTGGGACAGGGCAGATTCTCCATGGAAACTTCTTGAAGAAGCGAATGGGTGAATGAATAAATGGTAGATACATGCTTTAGAAATAAGTTTGTTTCAACCTTTCACAAGGGAATTTAAAAATCAGAGGCAGCTCAGAGCTGTACACCGGCTGTCGGGTAGTTCCATTCAAAGCGTGGAGCTATTTCCTTCACTCGGGTGGAAATTAATCAGGATGTCGAGCCAGCCTGCAGTGAACTTCATTAGCGTCTTGGGTAAGGAGTATGCAGATCATCTGCATCTACAGAATCCTCATTACATAGAGCGGCAGAGCTTCAAAATCCTAATAAAATTACCTGGTGGAACCAACCCATAAAACCACAGCCATCGGGAGAAACCAACTTCATAGTCATGGCCCTATCATTTCAGGGCTTCTCGTAACTTAAAAGAACAAACTTCACTGTTTACGATTCAGCACCTCAAAGACTAGCTGAGCAGGAGCCTGGAGAGAGGCGAGGGCTGCACTGAGGAGGCGGCACCACCACCACCGGCCTGACCGCAGGTACCCCCGGGGCTGCTGAGGCGGCCACTCGGAATCCCAGACAAGCACCTATGTGTCCATCCTTCATTCCAAGGCGACTGCGAGCGCCAGCCCTGTGCTGGAGCTTAGAGAACAGGGCTCCCCTCAGTTCCCGTGAACCTCCACCACCAATTTCTCAGTGAAACGTCGGGGATTTGTTTCAAAATCCCCCGGGGTGGAGACGCAGAGCCACGTCAGGACTGGCCGTGAGTTGGTGTCCGCTCAAGTCTGATGGCATGTGGGGTTCATTATACGGTTTTCCAGACGACCGCCCGTGTTTTTAAATTCTACGATGCAACAGGGTCTCGCACCCAGAGAATTTTCCTTAAGACATAAGAACAGCCCATGCCTTCAACGGATGAGCAGAGAAAGGGGGGCGGTCTCGGCTGAGGGGTGTGGGGGTGCGGCGGTTCGTTTGTGTATTTTGGACACTTTGGGGGTTTACCTCTCGTGTTTCTGGATGAGGAGGGTCAGCTGAGCAGCGGCCGCGTTCAGAAGCCCCTGCACACGGGCCTCTGACGACTGCATGTTCTGGACCAGGTACTCTCTGTGGCCGAACCTTTTACTCAGATGACACCTCTTATTGGCCTGGAAAACGTCCGTTAACTGTTCTACATCTTCCTGTGGGAAAAACCAAGAACAGACACTGATTAAAATTTAGAGAAAATGCCTTGCAGCTACTTTAAATATTATGTCCTTTCTAAAGAAAATATACAGGAGCAGGAGCCCTGAAATGACTACATAAACCTCCCTGCCCTTAACACAGGCTTTGAAGAAAATGATATGCAACCAAGAAATGAGGCCTTGAAAAGTGCCCTGGGCCCAGACGGCAGAGTCCTCAGACCATCTTTGCTGCCCTCAGAGCGAGCCTGACCGGAGGCCTTACCTGTATTTTAGAGTAATCTTGCAGCAGCATTTTAGCTGCCTCTGGCTTCAGATCCCCTTTGAAAATAGCACTTTTTATCTGGGCAAAAAAGATGGTGTGCAGTTCATTTCTCTGGAAAACGGCCAGCTGCCTGTGAGCCTTGGCAAAGTCTTCCTCCTGCTGCAGCGCCAGGGACCTTCTCAGCTGCTCCTGCTCCAGGCCGTGCAGGGTCCGCAGGAGGCTGCTGCACTCACTGGCAGACTTGTGGAGAGAGGAGGCGGGCATGAGAGGCTCACTTGCCAGACAGGTACGCACACGAAGTGCAAGTGCACAAGCACATGCATGCACACACATGCACACATGCACATGTACACACAGCAGACATGCAGCCACCCACCATGCACACGAACACGTGCACACAGCACATGCATACACAGTGCATACTCATACACACAATGCAGTGCTTGTGCAAATATGGGCACACACACAATGTGCAAGTGCACATAAACATTCATGCACACACGTGCACACATGGCAGGTATGCAGGCTCACAGCCATCCACCATGCACACATACACACAGTGCATACTCATACACACAACACAGTGCACTTGTGAACATGGGCACATGCACACATAAGCACACGAGTGTGCACGCTCACATAGGACACATGTATCCACAATGCACATACACACAATGTCCCAAGCTGACAATGATGAGGCTGCTTAGCTCTGGGAAATGGTGTTGCAACCTGTCTTCCTTATGATCCTAATGTTTCCAGAACAACCTCAAAGCGGGAAATGCACAGGGGTGCGAATCTGTGACTCCAACTGCTTGCAAACAGCCTGCACATGGAAGCTCCAGGCACTGTGCTACCAGGCGCTCGGGCTACTGGCACGGTCCTTCTTCTTCACTTAGGTGCAGAGGAAAGCACCGGCATCCAGCCCCACACTGAGGGCAGCCGGATAGAAAAGGCGGCAAAGAGGAGGGAAGACGTGGCCACGTGGCTGCGTGCACATTACATGATCCGGTGCGAAGGAAGGAAGGAGGAAACACACCGTGGCTGAGTCCTGAGCATTTGCACTCCCAGCACTCACAGGGCTCGTGCCCAAGGAGGGGGTTCTTCATTCCACGTGGGGAGGCAGAACTCTGAGACAGCCACCAAGGGTCCCAGCAACACCCCCCGTGCAGATGTCGTGTGTGTGTGTGTATGTGTGCATTCTGTACACGTGTGTGGCCACCTCCCAGTTCCCCACATCACAGACCTACTTCCAACCACTCACAGGCCTACAACGGCAAAATACTCATTTCCATCTTTCCAGCTCTTTTCACTGGCTTTTCAACTTGTTCGGAATCTTGCCCAGCATGTTATTTATTTAGGGTTCCCCAAAGAAACTCAGCACGTTCCTTTTAGGACAGCAGCTGGCACACCACTTAGAAAGTGAGAGTTGATCTCCGGTCAGCAGGGGCCAGGCCAGGGGAGGCTGAGGAACCAGCTCACAGAGCTGCTCCTCCTGCATCACTTCTCCCAGCCACCCTGAGGGGACGCCCTCAGCCTCGCTTCACATTAGCAGAGCCAGAACATCCTACAATGGGAGTCCGGGTAGGTCTGACTCCCAAGCCTGGGCCGGAGAGAGCCGAGCTCTAGCAACCGCAGTCAGAGAGACTGTGCACACACTGGCATCACAACCTCTCTGTGGATGCGCTCTTCTGTGAATAAAGCCTTCCTACTCTCCCCAGGACCTCCCACGGCACCGTGGACATAGCTCCACCATAACACAGCTGAATGGTATCACATTTTTTATGTGTGAGGATCCTTCTTAAACTATGGACTTTTTGAATGCAAAACCCATGTCTCATTTTTCTCTGTACTTTCACGGCCTAGCCAGTGCCTGAGACAGTAAGTGATTCGTAAATGCTTTCTAAATGAATTCTGGATGGATGGGTAGGCGGTGGGTAAATGGATGGGTAGATAAATAGATGTACAGATGGATAGGAGGATAGGTAGGTGGATGGATGGGTGGATGGGTAGATGGATGGGTGGGTGGATGGATGGGTGGATGGATGGGTGGATGGATGGGTGGATGGATGGATGGATGGATGGATGGATGGATGGATGGATGGATGG